ACACACACACACACACACACAAAATGTATCCATTCTTTGAGGTCTGCATACGTATACACCATGTATTCTGATCCTATCACCCGCCCCCTCTCCAGCTCCTTCCAGAACTCTCTGCCGTCTCCCCCTCCCAACTTCATGTCCTCTCATAGGTCACCGAGGCCAATCAGTGTTGTCCATGTGCAGGGGGCTGTTTCAGGGCCTCCCACCGGAGCACAGGCCGCCTGTAGGAGCCATTTTCCTGAGGAACGCCAACTGTCCCTACTCCAGACCCCCTCAGCTGCCAAAGCTCCTCGGCTAGGGATGGGTGTCTCCTCTAATCTAGGTTAGCTTTTCGACTGGCTCAGTCTTGTCCAGGGAACCAGTGCTGCTGTGAAGACACTTTTTGATGGTCATCGTCCTCAGCCATTGGCTCTCCTAACCTTTCTGTCTTCAGCGTTCCCTCTGGGGGGGGGGGGCTGTGATAAGACTTCTCATTTAGGGTTGAGCACTCCACAGTTAGCCATGCTCAGAACCAGCTGTGGGCCTCTGTTTTAACTGTCCACTTCACAAAGAAGCCGCTCTGAGGAGAACTAAAAGATGTGCTAATCTGTTGGTCCTGGGAGCTAGGAGGAACAGTACTTTCTTTTTTTTTTTTTCTTTGTTTTTGTTTTCCGAGACAGGGTTTCTCTGTGTAGCCCTGGCTGTCCTGGAACACACTCTGTAGACCAAGCTGGCCTCGAACTCACAAAGACTCTCCTGAGTCTGCCTTCCCAGTACTGGGATTAATGTTGTGAGCCACTACGACCCCCCTCCCCCTTCCTGCCCACAACAGTCCATTTTTAAAGCCCCAGGCGGCCTGGTTGAAGGACCACTGGTGGATGATGCTGTCTGTGCAAGACAAGTGATCTCCAAACTGCTGGCCTCCTGTGGCACGTGGAAGGATGCGGCAAATAAAAGCTATTAAGTCTTATACTTAAGAGACCTCTCTGTGTGAAAATATTCTGGCCCAAGGTGGAGGAGGGAAAGATGGAAGACTTAGCTCAGTGCAATTAACTACCACAGCAGTGCCGTGGTACCAGCAGGGGGCGCAAAAGAGGTCACACACTAATGGGCCTGGTCTAGGTAAGGTAGGTGAGCCCTGTCTGGGTCAGTTATTTGGCAGACACTGAAAAGAGGCTAAGAGGATTTCCAGATATTGATGGTGGCTACTCAGACCTGAGCTTACAGGAGGCTTTTCTTCCTACTCCGAAACACTGGCTGATGTGTGCGAGGTTTGTGGACACAGAAATATGAAGACATGAGCTCTACTCTCTCTATTTATGAAACAGTATATAATGTTTAGGTGACTTTTCCAGTTTCCTTCCTTCCTTCCTTCCTTCCTTCCTTCCTTCCTTCCTTCCTTCCTTCCTTCCTTCCTTCCTTCCTTCCCTCCTTCCTTTCTTTCTCTCTCTCTCTCTCTCTATTTTGTTTTCAATTCTCTTTGTGTAGCCCTGGCTGTCCTGGAACTTGCTCTGTAGACCAGGCTGGCCTTGAACTTACAGAGCTCTGCCTGCCGGCTGTCTCCAGAGGATTGGGATTAAAGGGGTGAGCCACTACTCAGCTTTTCTTTCTTATATGGACTTTCCAAATCTTCTGCAGTCAATGCATTTCACTGTCGCAGTATTTTGGAAGGAAAGATGAAGGCGGACCTCACCTCTTCAGGGCAGGAACCGCTTGTTATTCTCTGTACCTCAGGACCATCCCCCAGGATTTGCCACATGTTGGCGAATCAATGTTTTCACCTCATTTCATTTCTCCCAGGATCTTAGGTTCATAAGTACGATCTCAAATCAGGATCAAAAGATATGTAAAATAACTAGTCCTGGGTAAATGTCTAATATGTGATTAGAGCCTGTTTGCAAACAGATGGAAATCAAACTTTGGAAAATGATTTTAAAACAACAGGGCATAGCCTGTGGGAACGGTGGTTCTTAGCAGCGCGAGGTGTGTACCGATGAGGTCCTGAACAGACATCCCCTCTGGACGTGGCTACTATCCTTAAATAACCTGGGACTCAGTTTCATCTGTAAGTTGGAGACTGTAACACCAACAAGGAAGGTAAGCAGGTGCCTTGCCATCGGAAGGCGTCACTCAGTGACATTTGCATTCTCCATTTAGTGGATGGGAAGGACCAGCCCTCAACAGGCAACAGAGCTTTAGACCCTGCTCCATCCCATCCCCCGACTCAGTCAGGACTCTAGGGGAGAAAGAACCTGGGAATGCTGCCGAACAGACTGTTTGGTGGCCTGTACTTCCCACCATGATGGTGATTCCCAACAGAGGAGGCTATGGAGTCCCTGCCAGGGCTCTTACAGAGGAGACAATGGAACAAGTGACGGGTCAACGTATTTCACATACACTTGAGGTGCGAGGTATAAAACCCAGGACTTTTGTGTGCTAAGCAAGCACCCCACCGCTGAGCTGCATTCTCAGGTCCTAGTAGGAAAAGTTGAAGTGAGGCTTCCAAAGCCTATGAGAGACTACATCCCAGATGGCTGCATAGAGAATCTTTCTTGTCCTTCTTTCTCATCACGGAAATGTAACTGTATCAGGTGTGCTGTTGAATACACGCTCTGTTTAAGAGATGAATATTCCTAGCTAGGGTGTAGTGGGAATGCTGAGGAGAGGCTCAGTGGCAGGTTCTTCACCCGGAAAGACCCGGGGAAGCCACCCAGCTTCATTGCTTTGCCTTTTGGCTGGCCCAGGGAGGAGAGCAGGTGTTGCCAGCCATGCTGATAACAGCACTGATCTGGGCAGCATCATCTAATTGGTATACACGACTCAATGGGACAGGGAAGTGATGTGTAAAGCCCTGCAGAGGGCCGGCCATGGGGGGGTGTGTCTCTGATTCAGCTCAGTACCCTGTCCATCACTGTGTGGACTGCAGCGGGAGGAGCTCAGGGAAGGCATTGCTGCACTTGGTCATTGATGTCAAAGGCCCATCTGCTCGGCTGCACGGCCTCGGCCCTGTGTCTTTCCAGTCCTCTCTAAACTTTTCAGCAGCGACCAAGAACCTGAGCAAGAGCCACACCAATGCTTTCGCCAGCTGGGGCTGTGGAGCATAGCCACAGAAGACTCTTTTCTTCATTCTGCTGGAAACAAATCCAAGTATGGACAGGAGACGGCCATGACACTGCTCTCCCCGACTGTGGCCTCCTTAGGAATGTAGCTGTCTATGGATCTCTGCAGCTCCCAGGCTCACGAGGACAAGGACCATGTTGTCTTCATTCATATTGCCTCCAAATTGGACCCAAAATTTGGCATGTGGTGTTCTGTATTTGTCAAAGCATTGACCTTTTTTTTTTGGAGGGGTGGGGGGTGGGATTCAAAGTGAGGGGAGGTAAGATAAGAACACATCTTCCCAA